GTATTGAAGTTTTTCCCCACTTGTGTGCTTTAGAGAGAGAGAGAGAGTGAGAGGAGAGAGGAAGGGGGGGCGTTGGGTATTGAAGGTTTACTTTTCAGAGAGAGATGAGTTTGGGTGTTGAAGTTTTTCTCCCACTTGGGTGTGTTAGAGAGAGAGAGAGAGAGAGATTAATGCTTTGAGCATTGTAATGGCATTGATGGGTGGGTCGACTGGTCCAGGCATGAAACAAATTATTAGGTGCCAGTCCATACTTTTTTTGGTTTCACCCATTTCAATCTCTCTCTCTCTCTCTCTCTGCATTTTTAGTTTCACCCATTTCAATCACTCTCTCTCTACATTTTTGGTTTCACCAATTTCAATCTCTCTCTCTCTACATTTTTTGTTTCCAACCATTTCGATGTCTCTCTCTCATGCCAATACACGTACAAATGAATGCACATGGAAAAATTACTACACACGTTCAACGTCTCTTGTCTTTGCTTCTCTCTCCCCCATCTTCCTCTCTCCTCTCTTTCTCTCTCTTCCCCTCCTATTTAATCCCCTCCATCTATACACTATGCTCCCTAGGAGCATACTATACACTTGTCGCCTCAAGCGAAAGTGCTTAGAAGGTTTTTTTTTATTATTATTATTAAAAGTTTCGGGATCTCCTTAAGCATATTATTATCAAACAATATTTTTTTATTTTGAGTTCTCTCACACTTTGATTGTCAAAATTAGTAAATGTCTATATTCATGTACTTTATTCATACGTAATTTGATTATTTTTATTTTTTTCCCATCCCAATGGCTTAGTTTGAACATGATACATCCTTCAATTTTAAATTTCTAAAATACTACTACATTAAAATTTACGTGAGGAATTAGATGGATAGTATGATCCCTCGAGTGTGTAAAGTTTTTTAAATTATTTGAAATGACGTGGTGCAAAGGACAAACCATCCGAGAACAAAACAAACGACATTCAACATGCAATGCCATGTGATTCTCTACTCATCATGATTGAGACGTAGAGTGGGAAAAAGTTTAGATGAGTTCTCTTTTTAAAGGGGTGCGGTTTATAGAAGGTTGCACCCTTAAACAATCTAATTAAGGCGCACCTCCAAATTTTATCATAAAAAATTCTTATAATTATCTTAAAATATAATTATAAAATTTTGAACTCCAAAAATGGTTCAAATCAAAGACATATATAAACATATGAAAATCTTGTAAATGGACGGCCTAGATAATGTGTTGCAAGATGCACTATTTTTAAAACTCAAAAACTTTTTTTTTTTTATATCCATACATCTCGATGGCGAGATAATCAAGTAGAAGGTTTTTCAACATTAAAACAACAGGTGAATTCTACATTTTAAGGTTGCAACCTTATATAAACTTTTTTTAAAAAAAAAAAAAAGGGGGCAATTGGCATTCAGATGCATCCGTTGGTGTAGTAGAGGAAAAGTGCACCTTCAAATTTTATCATGGTATATAATTTTGATGTAAAATGTTCTTAGGATCATCTCAAAATCTATTTTTATATCTAATTATAAAATTTTAAATTTTAAAAATGGTTAAAATCAAGTAGATCTATAAACATATGAAATCTTGAAAATAGACAGTGTAAATAATACATTATAAAATGCACTATTTTTGAGACTTAAAATCTTTTTATTTTTCATAGTCATACATCTCAATATCGAGATGATCAATCAAAGGGTTTTTCAATATTAAAACTACCTTTCCGATGGATTTTTGAGGTGCATTAGCTCTACACTATATGGTTGCATCCTTATATAATTTTTTTCTTTTTTAAAAATCAAGTTTAAATGAGTTCTTAATGAGCTCATCGTCTCTTACGAAAATCTAATTTAGAGATAAATGTAGACTTGAAATTCTTATTTCTTGAGTCATTTTACATGCATTTATGGTTTAGATGTATAATTTTGTAACTCAAAAAATAGCATAAAATTAAATCAGTGATTTAAAAAATGGATCAATGATCCGGATCGAGCAGTCCAAAAACTAGTCCGGATCGCCGTCTTACTGTACGGAAAAATAGTGAACCAACAAAAAAACACGTGAAAAAACAGTGAACCGGCTAAAAATTGATATGAATCACCATTTTACTATGCAGAACCATCGATTCCCTTCTAGATTAGGCTGTTTTCCTATATATAAGCAGAGAAATAAGGTGATCGATTCTCAGGTCGGACAAAGCGAATCAATGCCGACCCGGCATTTTTTTAAATCACTGAACAAATGATTTGTTGAAAAATTAAATATATGTGATGAATGGTCTAGAAAAGATGGAAAGTAAAGGAATCTGAATCATATTGATCTTGGCAATTATGGATTTGAAAAAAAAAAGGAAAAAAAGAAAAAGAAAAAGAGAAACATATTTCAAACCTTAAAAATAGAGTATTTTATAATATATTATCTAGTCCTTCTAATTTTTAGTGTTCATTAATCTGTCAGATCTACACTATTTTTTGAACTTTGAATTTCATAATTAGAAATATTAATGAATTGTCAAACTATCATAAATATTTTAGCTATGGAAACTTTTTGGAGGTATTGTGGTGGGACTTTAATTTTTAACATAAAACATTGGCCTTGTAAATATAGCACTGCACACTTGAGTGGAATCACATTAATACCGTAAAAAAATTATATGTTAAGTCTTGTCTCATTCCCATATCATGTCCTATAAATTATTATAAGGTGAAAGCATACTACATTAGTTGGATGAAATTTGAAATTGCCACAGTTTTGATAAGAGTGGACCCACACTATATGCATTTTTTTCAAATAGTTTGGAAAAAAACTCTAATGCTGGTGATATTTTTAATTAATTATAGCATTGTTAGACTTGGAATTTTTTTTGAAGTACTGCTTAATAAAATCATAAGAGGCTGAGTGCAAATTTGGGTGATTTCTGATTGCTAATTTTAGGTCTTGAGATTGAAAAGGGGTGTGAGGTAACATAATGAGAGATAAAAAGGGTTTTAAGGCGATATTGGAAATAATAAATGTTAACCTTGTCCCATAAAAGGGGATAGAGAGATAAAAAGGTGTGATGTCGATAGATCGATCATCGAATCGGTAAAGGTATAGGTTATTTAAAATTTGTCAAAAAGCGGGTTTGTATTTTTAAAAAATAAAATAATTTAAAAATATAAAATATATTAAAAAAATTAATTAATCTTATTTATATAATTTCAAATGTAATCAGTCTCAGGTACCTAAATCATTGACTTCAACAGATTTTTGCTTTGAAGTAGATCGAACAAGACATTTATCAATAATCTAATGGATCTGCTATTCCGTCCACACTTGTGTTGAGACACCTAAGTGGGTTCTCAATTTTAATCGGGAACTTGCTGATTCTTATGGGACTAGCTATTTCCCACTTTTCCATGCATATTGTGCTCTCACGGAAGCATATACTATTTATCTACTCCCCCATTCAAAATACATACTGACGAATTTTTTTAGTTTGAGAGTTTAGGAACCGCCTAAGAATCACTAAATGTTTGTTTAAATTAACCAAAAAAAAAACTAAATGTTTATTTTTTTAAAAAATAAACTTTCATTTTTTATTGACACTTAGATCTTGCCCGTCTCTGTTTAATCTTGAGTTAAACATTATGTTATTTTCCTTCATCACCACACCTGTTACTAAGAGATGCTGCAATTGTTTTTGTGGATTTTTTTGCCTCTTTCAAAAATTTTGATGATTTACCTATCCCTTCTTTATGTTTTACTTCCTTTCTAGTGATCTATCTATCACTCTTGAAATTTTAAAAATTCTTTGGCTGTTGCATTTTCTTGTTTAGCTTTTTATCTTTCTTTTAAATTCTTTCACAGTTGTAATTTTTTCTATAATTTTTATCTAATTTTTTTCTTCTTTTTTGGCAGTTGCAATTTGGTGTGGATGAGTCATATCGATTGTCCGTTCCGGCTTCAGGAAGTCCAATCTATGCTGAAATTGAGGTGGGTTTTTTCTCCTCTTTTTTTTATTGTTTTTAATTTTTTTCTTTTGTTGTTGTTGTTTTTTTTTTTTTTGCTAATTAAACTACTGTTGTGTTTCTTCAATCAATTAACATGCTCTTATGTTACTCCAATGAATCTTTATCCCTTAAAAATCCTCTATTTGGAGCTTTGATAATTGTTGTACTTGATTAATTCCATGGTGTTGAAATGGGTTTAGTTTTATTCCACGACATTAGTGTGGTTTGTGCAGGAACCATACCCATTTTATTTTGTATGAAAATTTTCAGTAGGTGAGGAGTTAATCCTTGTGTGATGTAAAATTTGCAATGCTCTCACTTCAAGTTTCTCTCTATCACTATATCTACATGATGACCTCACTGCATTTGCTTTATCTCACTCAAGACTAATTGAACTGCGATTTGATTTTTTTTTTTTTTTTTGGAGTATTGTTACTTCAATTGAAATGCGCTTATTAAGAAGGAAGGTTTAAGCATTAATTTGATAGTCTAGGTCAATGTTTTAAAAATTGTTAGTAACAGGCAGGATCCCCCCTATTTGAACTGGAATGGGTGGAGTACCGGTCCCGGTTGAAAGACTCCCTAGACCGGTGTGGTTTTTACCAATTTTATTTTTTTAATTATTTTTAGTCTCTATGCAAATTTTCCCAACCTTGTGCCGGATTGGAACCTATTGGTTCACCGATATGGATCATTTCTACCCACCAATCCAGGCTTTTAATAAAGGGATTGTATACAATGAGACCATTTGTGTTTGATACAAGGTGGTCACAATTATTTACAACCATCCAATGTGAAATTTGATAGCTTGGGTGTGTTACAGAGTTCTAAAAAATTTCTTTTGAAGTTTGAGCTTGGTCAATAGAATAAATTCAGCTACCCAATTTCACATCCAATGGTCAAGGTTAATTGTGACCACCTTGTATCAAAGGTAAATGGTCTCATTCTATACTTTTCCTTTAATAAGTGATCTAGATGAATAGTTACTTAAAAAACAAAGAAAGAAAGAAAGAGAGAGGAAAAGAATAATAATTTGCATAAAAACATTATGATTATGTTGAGTTCTTCTGAATTTCACTTATTTATTGAAACATTTACATTGCAATCAATTAGCGAGCGTAATTCTCAAGAGTCAACTAGTCTGGGACTCTGGCTTCTATCAATAAGCAGACACAAGGTTCTAAATAAATGTAGTAAAAAAAACAAGTTATGTACACAAATATTGATAAGGTTTCCCTTATATGGAATGCTATATGTCAATCAATGATGTAGACATGATATAGGGAGGGAAAAAGGGAAAAAACAAAGAAAATAAAGAAAGACTGAGAGAATATACCATCTCTATTTAACGATAAGTTTGTTTTTTTTGGTAAGTAAGATAAGGTTTCGCTTAATATGTTATGCATATATGACAATGAAAACATACATGATGCTGGGCATAGGGAAATGGAAAGTAAAAAGAAAAGAGAAAAGAAAGAAAGATTGATGGAATACCTTCTCTCTTGGACTGCAAGGGAATTCACCCTAAAGTTTAAAGATTTGTCTCCACTCTAGGCGTTCAAGGACTCCATCCAAAAGATATACCCAAAGCTAAATTCTTCTTCTCATCTTGTTCTTCATAATTATTGATATATCATCATCATCATCATTATCATTACCATCATAGCCTTTTTCCAACTATTTGGGGTTGGCTATATGAATCTTGGTCTGCCATTCTGCTCTATCGAAGGTCATACCCTCAGTGAGGCCCTAAACCCTATGAGTGTCTAAAATAATTAAAAGAGATGTTGCCCTTAGAAATCTCTACAACACTAAACCACTTAAACGCTACTATTTTTTCTTTTTTCCAAAATTAAAAGAACAAGCTAGCCTACTAATATCCAACAAAGCAAACCCTAATCACATCAGAAAATAAACTTGTATTCCATCAATATATTTATGAATAATTTCTTTGGGTCGAGATTTTGGCTTGTGAAAGCTGAAAACACCTAGTAGTATGCTGGATATTTAATTACTATGGGAAAATGTGCCGTAGTCCAACGGACTTGTCACTCATGCATTCATCCACCATTTGTTCCCATTAATGGATGGTTGGATGAAGCTTGGAGCACCATACGCTATAGTCCATTGGATTACGATGAACTTTCTGTCACAGAGCTAATTATTTGACATTGCCTCCTTTGAATTGTCATTGTATGCAGGCACATACAGTTTATGGAGCTCTCTATGGTTTGCAGGTCACTATTATTTTGCTTTTGACTATTAATGTTGGCTAATTTTTATTTTTCAATGATTAAAACCGAACCATATATATATATATATATATATATATCTTCAGATCTGCCCAGATTGAATCTGGGCCGATCTGACGATCACGGATGTCCGGTAGTGTTTGAATTTTTAGTTTTTTTTTTACAAATCCAAATCACTTCAAAGTTTAGGCGTGTGTTCATAAAAAAATAGGTGAATCTTCGAAAAATATAAAAAAAATATTTTACATGAAATAATTTGAGCAAAATACCCCCGAAAAGTTTTGGGGGGTATTTATTTAATTTTATTTTCACAAATAAATTTTTTTTATATTTGTATTAGGTGCGCCTTGATGAGAAGAACACACACCTAAAATTTCAAGTGATTTGGATTTGTAGAAAATAAAATAAAATTCAAGGAGTACCGGACATCCGTGATCGTCAGATCGGTCCAGATTCAATATAGGCCGTTGGGCTCATATGTTCATATGAGCTAATGGGCTAACCCCAACTTTTTCCTATATATATATATATGGAATATATATATGGAAAACTCTTAAGAACACCTATAGGCGATGTTGAACAGTATTTTACCCCGCCACGGACATGCCATGTCCGTGGCAGTTTATTGATTAGAGCCGCAACAGACCTACTATATCTGTTGCGGTCTTTTAATCCACGCCATCCAAAAAAATATATATATGAAAAACTCTTAAGAACACCTATAGGCGATGTTGAACAGTATTACACCGTGCCACGGACATGCTATGTCCGTGGTGGTTTATTGATCGGAGCTGCAACGGACCTACTATATCCGTTGTGGTTTTTTAATCCACGCCGTCCAAAAAAATCGGACGGCATCGAGCATATGGGTGAAAACACTGTTTATTCGACCCATGGATTGATGGAATAGTGCAAGCCCAACAACCTAGATTGATGGCCACGACTGCATTTCGTATTTGAATTTTAAATGTTGTTCTTAAAATCCTAATCACATGAAATTTGAGACATTCACTCTTCTTATCAATCCAAATTACATGAATAAGGGGTATTTTGGTCTATTTAATTATTGTGAATTATTTTTTTGATATTTTTATTAGATTCATCTATTTTTTATTAATAAAATCTTTAAATTTCAAGTGATTTGGATTTGTAAAAAAACAAAATTAAAATTAAAATATGAAATGCAATTGTGACCATTAAATCAGCAAAGATTTAATCTGGGCCATTGGGCGTTTACTGTAGCTGTCAGCTAATGGGCTAACCTTAAACCCTCCCATAATATATATAT